ATGCCTGCCGCACATGTGGCGCAGATGATGTCAGGCACGGGAACGTGGGGCGCGCTTGCCCCAGATGGAATTAAGGTTGCCTTAGCGTGACCCGCGCGCGAAACGTCGAGACCCTGGATCCATGTTTCGCATCGTCAACACTTCGATGTCTGCCAGATGGCACCGCCGTCCCATCTCTCTATACACCCCAATTCTACGTCTCGCTTTGTTTAATCATTTTCATCTTCTCCGCTACTTTGAATTGTGATTGTATCTGGCTGATAGGCCTTCCAAACCTCCGGAGTGTGGAGCTGTGAATGTGAACGAACACCCACGCTCACCGCACGCGACCCTGCCCGCCATGAGCCGCATTCACCTGTGGTAAACAACGTGGAACGTCATAACAAAACTGTGAGTGCGATTTGTCTCCCAAACACCAACATGCCGCAATAACACCACAACGCCATGCTCGGCGACGAAGCGGTGTTCAAATTGAAGCGGTCGGTGAGCGACGGCGACCATCTCATCCCTATGGGAGAGGTGACCCCGCCTCGCTCACTGGACAGCACACCAGCGACACGATCCAGTCGCTCCTTCTCGATTTCCAAGCTGACAGACTCAATCAAAGGGAAGATAGCCAACTCATCCCGCTCCTCCCGCTCCTCTCGCACCCCTTCCATCGACAAGCGCGATATCTCGAGTCCGATATTAGACCACAGAAGCCCGCTGTGCCCGCCTACGCCGAAGCCAAGGCTTGCTATTGCCCTCCCGGAAACGCCTGTCCCACGACGACCTCTATCACGATCCAGTCCCGGCACCATCAAGCCTGGCCGCCCGAACTCTACCGCACGACACTCATACTCTGCCTCCGACCCTACCAATTACATATCGCCCGGTCGACGTCCACGCCAAACCGATCGCCCGCCCCCGCCTCTACCAATCGCAACCAGCTTCGAGAGCACAACCGGAACCCTAGTGGACAGTCCGTTAGAGCGCATAGCAGAGTCGCCTTTCGAGCCGCAAGAAGACGCCCCAACCGAACGGCTTCACCTCGACAAAGTATACAGATACCTCCGAGACATGGAGCCTGCACGACTGCAGCCGCCCATGATGGGTGGCACCAAAGGGCGTGCTATGCAACAAGCAAAGGACATGGAGCTCCTGGTTGCAGAGAGAGCCAAGCGGGGTGGTGAGGAACCGCCGCCATACGACTTTTACGAGCTTATTGGCAAGGGTGCATATGGCCGGGTCTACAAAGGGTGGGTATCATGAAGCGAACCCCAGAACACTCGCTGACACTACAAAGAAAGAGTCGAAATACCGGCGCGCTCGTTGCCATCAAGATCATCGAGATCGATAAGGTTGACTACGAGGAGATGACACACAAGAACCTTCAGGACACACTTAAGGAGATCGACATCCTGCAGCAGCTCAGAGACAGCAAGGCAAGACCCTACGTCAACATCATCGAGGAGGCCCGTCCTGTCCATAACGAACTCTGGATTGTCAGCGAGTATGCCAGTGGTGGTAGTGTCAACACGTTGATGAAGCCTACGGCTATGACCAAGGACCCTGGACCTGGACTGGCGGAGAAATTCATCATACCCATTGCACGTGAATTGGCGCAAGGTCTCAAGTACATCCATGAAGCTGGTGTGCTACATCGCGATCTGAAGTGTGAGTAGTGCTGTCTTACTGTCCTCAATTTTTGCTGACCAAATCCAGCCAACAACGTTCTTATCCTCGAAGATGGCCGGGTACAACTTTGTGACTTCGGTGTCTCCAACACCCTGGAACCGGAAAGATCGAAGCGCTCGACTATCGTCGGTACACCATTTTGGATGGCGCCTGAACTGCAAAAGGAATGGGTCAAGGATGCGGACCCGCACAGCTTGATGCAACCCAAGGAGATATCCTACGGAAACGAGGTTGATATCTGGGCCTACGCTTGCACTGTCTATGAGATGGCTTGCGGTTATCCACCTCATCACAAGATTGGGCAGTTCGACTTGCCAACGGCTGGTGTTCCTGTGCTTGAAGGTGATCGCTTTTCCCAAGAACTAAAGGATTTCCTAGCTTTCGTCTTCCAGCCAGAGCCGCAAGATCGACCAACACCCGATCAGATCTTGGAGCACCCATATCTTGCGGACACTACCAAGATGTATCCGACTGTGTCGCTCGTCAAGTTGGTTGAGGACTATTATGTATGGGAGCAACAGGGCGGTGCACGACAGTCGCTCTTCAATCCATACGGTGCTCAAGCACCAGACCCGCTTGCCCCAGAAGCGGAAGAGGACGACGACGATGACTGGTCTTTTAACGTATCAGAAGAATTCGAGCAGGAACATGCACCACAATTTGGCGATCCTTTTGCAGGTGGGGCCGGACAGGGCTTCAACGGAATGGGTCTACCACCTATAGCAGATATGGGACGATTCGAACAGCTCCAGGCTAGGTTCAAGGAGGAGTCTATCGTCCGAGGACAGAAACGTCTGAACAAGCTATTCGATACGAACACGACACCATACCGGTACAGCGCAGTCGATATGCCAGATCCTCCGAATGGTCGCCCTCCATCCGATCTGGTCCTACGCGACTTCAATCCTGGTGCGCCCAACCGCGAGACCGTTATTGACTTGGACTTTTCGATGCCATCAGCAGACGAGATACCGAGTATCGACCTGGGCGAGGTACCAACCATCCGCGCGAACCGCATGAAGAGCATCATACGTGAGATGGAGGAAGAAGAGGAGCGCCGGGATGCTTTCAATGAGGAAGATGAGATGACTAAACGAGCCACGAAAGACTGGACCTTCCCCAGCATGAATGACGAGAATCGCAAGACCATGGAATGGTCCTTCCCGTCGGAACAACCAAACCGAAAGACGATGGAGTGGTCGTTTCCTGCTGAGCAGCAGCCTAATCGCAAGACAATGGAATGGTCCTTCCCGGCTCAACCTCAGAAGCCAAATCGACGCACAGTAGAATGGACATTCGATGCCGCGATGGCAGAGGCCAACAACGAGCCCAGGAATCGCGCATCAAATCGGATCTCCCGACGACGCGAGACGAAAGAGTGGACGTTTCCCAAGCAGGACGACAACCGCAAGACTCAAGACTTTGCCTTTCCCATGGGTAGCCCGAAGGAGCCACGGCGCGGTCAGCACACGAAGACGGACTCATCTTCACCAATTCTCGCATCTGGTTTCCGGCCGACCCTGCGACACGCCCAAACAGCGCCTGTTGACCCTATTGATGACTATCCCGAGATGATCAGCTCTGCGCCTGGATCTCCTCTTCGTTCGTCCATGATTGACCTCGATATGGCCATGGTGCAGGACTACCGTCCATCTACGTCTGGCTCTGATATCGTCACAGCGGGAATCGACCGCATGAATGACAACCCATTCAACCTCGAGGACCAGGTACAGCTATCACAGAACAACCACCGCGCTTCTTTCCACATGAAGTCGCAGTCGGAACCGAACCAGGCCGTGCCGGGCTTATTGACACCTCAGCAATACGATGAGCAAGGCCATCCTACAAACCAGGACCCACACCACCCCAGCATGCACGCTCGAGGCGTCAGCTCAGCGAGCCAGGTACAGTCACAGGCGAAACCAGCACCCAGCTCCGGTCAATACCACCGCGGAAACCAGCGCTCTCAGCAGATCATCTGGGACGGCTGGTCGCATAACATGGCCTACGGACTAAGCAGCGACGACCAGTCACCTCCCATGAGCGTGACAACCGACACCTCGCTCGAAGAAGAAGACGTAGACGACCTCTGGGACACATTCGAGCGCCTCAACCTCGCCGCACAACGCCGTCCGATGGGCCAAGCTTCCGCTCCCCTCCGTTCATCACGCAGAACCGACTCTACATCCACAACCCTCACTTCCACCACCTACACCCTCGACTCCGACACCGATGATTCCTACCACCACGGCAACACCTACTCTTCCTCCTCAGACTTTGATCAACAAGACGCCCCACGCTACAGCCGCAAGTCCACCACCGTCAGCGTCGGTCCAAACGGGAAGCCGCTTGTTGATTTTCCCGTCCCGACTGGGCCTGAGGTAGAGGCGCTGTTGGGCGTGGACATGGATGCAAGGGTCATGGCTGATATGCTGCTGAAGAGTGCGGTGGAGTTGAGGGACGGCACGAGGGCTAGTAGGGACCTGCTGCGGGCGATGCGGTTACAGGATGTGGAGGGCGAGGGCGAGGATGATGATGAAGGTGCGGATGAGGAGATGAGAGGGGGGACTGTTAGGCTGAGGGGGAATGCATGAATTTACGATGGAATGATGGGGGTTATGGGAATGGGGCGTTGGGCGATACTAAGCAATCTTTGCTGGATGGAGTTGGGCTGGGTCTTTGATGAAATTTATCTGGACTGTCCTTTTCCGTTGAGGAAATACTAGGACGTGATACATTCTAATTGAAACATGAAGAAACGTTCAGCCTGCCCCTCCCTCGTGATCATAACATGAACATTGACTTCCCAGCCCACAGCAGTGCCATTTTCGCTCTGGGCAAACGCTATGTCCAGCGCTTGGAGAAGAAGCTTACGAGCATGGGTCAAACGTTGAACATGGAACCTGCTTATCGTTGGCTATCAGAACTAGCACAGGCAAAAGCTTTGCAGCTTCAGTCGCTGCGCAGCGTCACCGTTGAAGAAGGACTGGAGATGGTGAAGGGTGTTGGGTTAAGTGGTAGATTGTACGAGCGGATGGACTGCAAAGCCCCAGTTGAACTGAGAAGAGTTTTTGAGTTGGCTGGAGTGGGTATTGGAAATGCGACTGCGCGGTTTTGAGTATACAGAGACGTCTGCATGAAGACGGGAAGGGGGAGGGCGAGGATGTATTGGTGCGCTGGACTTGTTTTAGCACATCGGAGTTACTAGACACGGTATCATGTTCATATTGCATAATAGGAATGCTATGGGATCAATGTTTATCAAATTGAGCTACGAACGGGGTCTTCTTCGCACAAGAGTGCATCAGTAAGACACGTTGACTCTACCCTGCTGATCTTGCAGCTGCATCTGCTAGCTGCTCTAGTAGGACGTGTCTCTGGTCCAGCACCTGCGTCTGCAATCTGAGACGCTTTGTAAGGGCACCAATGTGTTGGTCTTTCGCGACCAAGCACGCCTCTAACCTTGTGGCGACCTCGGCCGACAACGTGTCGTTCGCTTTTACCTGCCCTCTCATGTCTCTGGAGGTGCTGCTGACCTGCTCTGTGACGTTTATCTCTGAGATGAGCGATGCGCATCGAACATTGGTAGTGCGGCGCTGCTCTGCGCCGACTGTATTGTTACAGGCTTGGACTGTGCTGTCCATCTGGCTCGTGAGAAGTGACGTAACTTCATCGTTGTGCTCTTGAGAAAGAAGCTCCTCAAACGATGGCAACTGTCCTAGGGGAATGTTAAGACGACACCGCAACTCCTCAAAAACGGCTCGGTAACTTCTGGAGGCTGTTAGCTTCCCTTGGAGAGCGGTCTGCTCTACCTTGCTGAGCCCGATGTCTTCTGGTAGCTCGATGCTGGAAGACTGGCTAGCTCTCGTGATCCTATCGAGCAACTGCTGCAGGATGGCATCTTTGCTTTCTACCTCTCTTCTGAAGGTAGATGTTGCAACTTCTTTGTCCTCTTGCAGCTCATTCTGAATCTGCTCAAACTGCGCTTGCTGTTTCTGAAGCGCGTTGTCAAGTTCGATCTCGAGCTGCTGTTTCTGTGTCTGAAGAGCGCTGTCTTGCTCTTCGTCAGATTGCCGCTTCTGCTCTTCGAGTGCGATTGTGAGTTCACTCTCCTGCGAACTTTTCTGTTCGCTGAGTGCTCGCTCGTGTGCCGCTATCAGATCAGCTGTTTCTGTGACCTTTGCTCTGGTCTTGATGTCGTCTTCTATCGGTCTTAGAATACCCATCAGGCGTGAGGCTTTTGTGAGGTCATCATGAGACGGATACCCTGGACCGGGCTCGGGAGCGTCCCGGATTGCGTTTGTTATTTGTCGTTGCGCCGACTCGCGCTCGAGCCGGTACGCCTCGACATCTGCGAGGAAATCCTCCATTGGCGTGTCAATGGGGGTGGTGAGGATGTAAGTGTGGGTGTGGGCGTGAGTGGAAGAGAGTGAGTGTTCGGAGGTCTGAGATCTCTTCACTGTTGTCCCTTCCACATTCGGTAGGCGCGCCCCTCCACCAGTAAGCACCACCAAGCTGCATGTTGAAAATCAAACCATGTGTGTGCAAATCAAGTCACGCCAGCATCTAAATGAATGTGTCTCTCGCTGATGCAGCGAGGTCGGCCTGAGGGGCTCACCCACAATCTTGGAGAATTCCAACTGCACGCACAGTGCGCGCATCAAGCTGCGCATCACCTAGTTATACCTTCTTATGAATTGTCGTAGATCATATCAACAGCGAATGGAGTCTTTGTAAATCCTCCAGTCTGCCCTGTTGAAGATCAAAGGAAACAAACATGTGCCTCTCACGCGCAACCAAAACCTTGTATTCTTGGTAGCGGGAGGTGAGTGCTTTGAAAATGGGATCTGACGGCCTTTGCCCCTTCCACGTTCGGCAGGCGCGCCTCTACCCGCGAACAGCACCGACATCTCAAACTTCAGGCGCTATAATCGATGAGTGTGAGATGACCTGCTTCTTTCCGAATGAAGCGATCAACCGGATGCATCAATCAAGCATGCTTCACTGATCACCGTTCACGGTAAAGACCGCAACCGAAGATGCTCGACGCAATGAGCATCCCATGCCTGCTATTCCGATTATGCGAGCATCAAAAAGTGCAAGAGCGGTATCTCATGAGTATAGGCTCGGTGCTTTTGATACACGTACATTCCACGGAGAAGGCTCAGCACATAATTGACCTCGTGGAAGACTTTGAGTGGCGGGCGACCGGCACAAGCTGACGACATGCATACTGTGCGTCGCTCTTTCGATGAGTGAAGAAGTGACGAGAAAGTGGAAACATGACTCCTTCCGATGCGTGTTTTGATCTTGCAAAACAGGGCGGAACAGCGGAAGCCATCACTTTGTTCACTCTCATATTTTCGAGAGAGCGGGAGGAAGCCGCGCAGACATCGAGGGGTTTCGGTGTCATTTTGGCAATAAAGAAGATATTGTGTTATGAAGAAGAGAGACGGGGAGGTAAAGTGTGGGTTTATATACCTCTCGACTCTGCTAAGCCAGCCATCGGTCATGCCAAACATGCCCTCCATGTAATCGAGCGGGCGGAGACATGAGCACTCCATCGTACCGTCATGAGTTCTTTTCGGAGGTTGCAGACTACAAACGCAACCAGAGCACATGATTCGGTCTCGATATGTTTTCGGTAGGCGGCAAACCATGAGTTGCTCAAAATGATGCGAGTGCATAACCCATGTGTATTCGGCAACATTGGAAGATGAATTGAGACATGGCATGGATGTCGGAGTTTTTGAACCCGCAGACCGGGAACGAGACATGACCAGTGTTCTGCTGAATTTCGGTGATGTCTTCTTGTCATCCCACGAGAAGGAGCGAATCCGAGAAGCACCACATGGAAATTGGGTGAGGTTTTTTTGTTGGTACTCGGATAGAAGAGAAGGAGGCTCCACACAATCTCATGAAGAGGTGACGATGTGTTTTGAAAAGAAGGTCGTTTTGGAGGACGAGAAACCAGGCGGCAAGTCATCGAGTGTTCTACGGATAGTTTTGGAGAAAGGCAGACCGAACAGCCAGCCATGAATCCGTGCAACGTGACTTTTTGAAAAATAGCCAGCAGACTTTGTGATGAAGAGAAGAAGAGGAGACATGCAGAAAAGACGGGTTTATATGCGCGAAGAATGGAACCCGAGCACGTGAGACCCGCGGCTGGAAGATGAAAGACCGTACGATGATCATCAGCACCAGCACTACACCAAACGACAGAAGTACGCACCTCAATCAAAACCCCTCTTCTTCACTGCCAACTCAACAGTCCACAGTCTACACGCACCAGCACCGCAACACCCAATCTCAGAACGGAACGATTTTGCATTCCATTTCCACAGATAATATACACTCGGCGCGAGACCCTCACTCAGTCCCACACCTCCAAATCCCATGCCTTATCTCAAAGAACGCCACAGAAACCCTAGCTTTCGACTTGCTCGACAGTATTTATAAGGGGTATAGAATCTTGGAAACCCCGGCCCATATTGTAAGTAAGAAAGAAAAGCACTAATTTCCACTCGCGCCCGCCCCTGTATTCACACCACTCTCCCTCTTCCGTCTCCGCCGCTGCCTTGCGTTGTCTTTGAGAAACTGCGGGTCTATGAAACCTTCTGGGAGTTCGAATTCCTTCTCTGCGAACTCGGGTATTGGTTGGCCGAATGCAGATGCGTTGCGCCCGTGTCTATGTTTGCCGAGGGCTGCGGCGCGGAGGTGTGGTTTCGCGTAGAAAGAACTGAACGGCGCTGCGGGTTCGGGTGGCACGAAAGGGAGGAGGAAGCCATGGGGACGCGGGGGCCGCCGTGGTTTCGGTGGCTCGGGCTCCTTGGGTTGCTGTCGTGGTGGTGGGGGTTCGCGGCTGCGGACTACAATGTTATCTGAGTCTTCTGTTTCTTCGCCATCCTCGTCTTCGTCTTCTTCCCTCGCGGCGAGCGCTGCTTCTTTTTCAGCACGCAAGCGCTTCTCCTCTTCTTTCCAGACGCGGAACTTGTCGACGAGGGCTTCTACCTCTCGGACAAAGTAGTCGCGCTTCGCCTCCCAGTCCTTTCTCTCGCCGTCTGTCACGCCGGTTATGCCCATGACCTTGAGCCAGTCTGGGCCCTGCAGTCCGTCGAGGAGTCTCTCCAATTGCACCTTCTCGTGCATGGCGCGCTCCTTTTCGATATTCCGCAGCTGCTTTTCCTTGCGCTCGGCACGTCGGTGCTGTGTGAAGAAGACGGAGTCGGCGAGCGGGTCTTCGCCGTCATTGTGGGAGATGGCATTGGCTATGGAGGCGTAGTTGAGGACTGTGAATGTAGTCGACGACTGGGCCGGGAGTATTGACGGATCCGAGGCATGGCGCGGTGGGGACGAGTGTCGTGCTTTCCGTGACCGCGTCGGGCTTACTGAGCTTCGCGGGGGCTCTGGAGTCTTGGCCTTGATGGGCTCGTCGACGATGTATATGGGCGTGTCGACATCGAGAAATTCTGCACGCGATCAGAGCTATACCGTGACATGTGACAGGGACAGTGACCTACCATCCTCTTTGGGCACGCCGGCAATGATGTCGTCGTAGTTGGCAAAGTAGACGGCGAGGTCGCTCTTCAGCCGGGAGCCTCCATCGTGGCTCCGCAGGCTCCTCTTGTCTGTGGTTGTGGAGGAAGCTGTGGACGCCGGGGCGGGGACAGCTGGGGGCGCAGCAAGCTTGCCGGAGCTGCCAGGCCGGGGCGTGGACCTCGCGGAGGGCACGTCGTCGGCGTCGATGCCCAGGGGCGCGGCGACGCCATTGGTGATGCGCAGCAGCTCGCCATGTGGTTGTGTAACGGTAATCTTGGTCGGCGGTCTCGTGTCGGTCGCGTCGGGCTCGAGGGCAGTGGCTGGCCGCTTCCTGCTGCTGGTGCGCGCAGGCGGCGGAGGTTTTGCAGGCGTGTGGGCGACGGGCTTGACGGCGCCGTCGTCGTCGGCGCGCGCAAGCAGAGGGCCGCTTTTCGAGGCCCGTCTGGTCGCGACGGGCGCGTGGTTGTGGTTGCGCTGGGCTTGTGGGTGGGCGTCATCGCGCGACACGGGCAGGAAGTTGAGCCTGGTCTGCCGTTCATTCGAGCTCCGCAGCAGCGAAGGCCGAACGGCGTTGGCCATGGTAGTGATCAGACTTGAGATCATTCGCGATTCGCTGGGTCATCTTTCAGCTATTCATTGTGGAGCTGCCATTGATGTCGCGCTGAGATGTGCCAAAACGCGAGCCGTTAGGGGGTCGTCGAGTGGCAGAGCCCGCGCAGTTTGCCAAACGAGCTGCTGCACCCACGGCGCTCCCGTACGCCTCACCCAGACACTGCAAATACGGATGAGGTTGGATTAAGCCCTATAGCAGACCTTCCCATCTCGATATCGCCATGTACACCAGAAGATTATTCAACGAATTGCAGTACAGCGCATGTGAGATACTTGGAAGCGTAGCGCCACTGACGTTGGTAGCCAATCAGTACGAGTGGGCGACATCACATCAACTTGAACATCATAACGCTAGAACTGACTATATGAGGTCCTTTCCTTGCATGGCAACTGAAAGATTGAGAGATCAAGCAATTGGAAAATGTCAAGGACGATTCACTTGCATGGCAGCTGGGCACACCCTGGCACCACATACTCAACAACAACAACGTATCCAACTCTTCCATGCCACTCAAACTTCAGCATCAACATCAACGTCAGTCAATACAACCTCTAAGCCACGCGATCACGAGAAGAGAAAGTCCTTCAAGACGGGCGACCCAGCAAACTCCGGGTTCAGCAAAACGCAACTATTAATAGTCAGCCGATATGCGCTAGCTTTGTTATCGATAAACACACTTGAGAAAGTACGAGAGTCCTTGTTTCCGCTTTTCCAGAAAACGGGGCCTAAAGCGAGCTATGCCCGACGCATTAGCACTATATTGTTTGGTGGAGTGATGCTGCAGCAGGCGGCCATGTGACTTACATATTACGGATTTGGGTGGGAAGTGCGGCATGGAACCCGCGGCATGAGGAAACGTCTGGAGCAGCTTGGTGTGCAGATCTTCAAACTCGGAGTATCTGGTACGATCAGCAGAGGGAATCGAAAGTGATAGACGATGGCCAACCTCTTGCGTATCTTCATGGGACCACCCTGTCACAGTTAGCATATGCATGATGGTTCATCACCTGGAGATGGCAGTCCACCACGGGCCCTCTGCATGAAACCATTTTTTGAAAAACAATCTCATGCAGATGATTGGCTGCGAGGACATCGCCGGGCGGACTAGCGCATCTCCATGCGGCTGGGAACTTACATCCAGTGTCTCGACCGTACAGTTAAAGACGACGTAAGCTCCAAAGCCCGGTGACGGCCCGCCGATGACAACGTAATCATCTA